GGTTCATTTGACTTAATTGTACCACGTCATCTTCTAAAAAGCGTTATTAGTGAGTTATTTACGTTTCATGACCGGGGCACTTTCTTTCATTCAAAGTTCAAATTCATTTGAACTTTGAGTGAAAGAAAATAATTATATTGATTTTAGATTGATATAAATAGTTAGATAAAAACTCACAGATACAAATAAATATAGTAAAAAAAATACCTTTTCTATGAGTGACTTTCCGTCTCTTTTTATACAATTAGTAGGGCTTAGTATTGCCGGCAATTGCAACGTTTTATTTATTTATTACTGTTCAAGAAAAATAAAAATTTTTAGATATTTTATATATTGAGATCCTCCCTTTTTTGTAAGTTGCTTTTTTTTGTATCATAACAGGAAGATCTGTGGAATCATATTGACTTAAGGCGTTATTTTTTTCTATCTAACCAAGTTTATGAATTACCCCTAAAGGTTTACATCAAACTAGTGCTAGATTCTCATCAAACAAATATTCGTTTGATGAGAATTACTTTTGAAATAGCAAAGTTCCTAATTAATGGTTTTTTTCTTAATTCCAATAAAATAAAATAAAATCGGATGTAATATGAGTTGGCAATCAAAACATATATGGATCGAACTTAGACCTGGGTCTAGAAAAATAAGTAATTTAGGTTGGGCTTTTACTCTTTTTTTTAGGTTCATTGGGATTCTTATTAGTAGGAACTTCCAGTTATCTTGGTATAAATTGGATATCCTTTTTTTCAGCCCAGCAAATTCTTTTTTTCCCACAAGGAATAGTCATGTCATTCTACGGAATTGCGGGTCTTTTTATTAGCTCGTATTTGTGGTGTACTATTTTATGGAATGTTGGTAGTGGTTATGATCAATTCGATAGAAAAAGGGGAATTTTTTGTATTTTTCGTTGGGGATTCCCTGGAATAAATCGGCGCATTTTCCTCCGATTCAATATAAAAGATATAAGGTCTATTCGAATAGAAGTGAAAGAAGGTATTTATGCTCGTCGTGTCCTTTATATGGACATCCGAGGCCAGAGGGCTATTCCTTTGACTCGTACTAATGAGAATTTCACCCCGGGAGAAATTGAAAAAAAAGCTTCAGAATTGGCCTATTTTTTGCGTGTACCGATTGAAGTATTTTGAGAAGGGGGCTACACCTCTTTTCAGTTACTTTTTTTCTATTTTTATATATTTTCTATTTATTTTTCCAATTGCATTTTTTTACTAAGACTCAGGAATACTAATTAGCCAATTGACCAGGCAGTTTTTTATTAGCACAAGCAAATCCCCTAGGAAGTTTAAGTATTCTATTGCTTACTATTTCATTCTAAATATTTAAATATCTAAACATTCAGTAATTTTTTTCTTTTTATTTTAATTGAAAGATTTGTATCGGATATCTGAATTTCATCTGTATTCTTTCTAGATTCAAAGACTGGCCAAAAAATCACAACAAAAATCAATACATACTTTAATATACCTTATACCTTGTAAAAGTAAAAACTCATATATGGTGGGTTCATGAAAAATAAAAATAAAGTATTCACTCCTCTTTTATATCTTGCATTTGTAGTCTTTTTGCCCTGGTGGATTTATTTCTTATTGAATAAATGTCTGGGATCTTGGATTACTAATTGGTGGACTACTAGGCAATCCGAAAGTTTCTTCAATAATATTAATGAAAAGAGTCTTCTGGAAAAATTTATTGAATTCGAGGAATTTCTATTATTGGACGAAATAGTTAAAAAAGACGTGGAGACACACCCACAAGAATTTATTATAGGAATCCATAAACAAGCAATTCAATTAATAAAGATACAAAAATATAGTGATATCCATCTTATTTTTCGTTTAGCGACAAATCTAATCTGTTTTTTTATTCTAAGTGTTTCTGCTATTTTGCGTAATGAAAACCTAAGTCTTCTGAACTCTTGGGCTCGGGAATTCTTATATAACTTAAGCGACACAATCAAAGTATTTTGCATTCTCTTATTAACTGATTTATGTATCGGATTCCATTCACCCCGCGGTTGGGAATTTATAATTACCTTTATTTCTAAAGATTTGGGATTTTGTGATAATGATTTAATTATCTCTGGTCTTGTTTGCACCTTTCCAGTCATTCTAGATACAATTTTTAAATATTGGGTTTTCCGTTATTTAAATCGTGTTTCTCCGTCACTTGTAGTTCTTTATCATTCATTGAATGAATGATTGAAGACTCTATGGGATTCATAATTCAATTTGAAGATTAATTTTTTTCTGTTTTTCTATTGTAAATAAGCGAAGCATTAAAAATATTACTTCATTACTTATTTTATAGAACTATTTTTTTTATATTTTATTCCATCAAATAGCAGAATCCTGGGTAGCAAACTATACTAGTGACCTACCCCATTTTATTGTATCAATTTTGCAATCAACGATTCGACTATGCAAACTCGAAATCATTTTCTTTGGATAAATAAACAGATTACTCGATTGATTTCCGCATTGATCATGTTATATATCATAACTCTGACATCCATTTCAAATGCATATCCTATTTTTGCACAGCAGAGTTATGAAAATCCACGAGAAGTAACTGGCCGTATTGTATGTGCCAATTGCCATTTAGCTAATAAGCCCGTGGAGGTTGAGGTACCGCAAGCGGTACTTCCAGATACTGTATTTGAAGCAGTAGTGCAAATTCCTTATGATATGCAACTTAAACAAGTTCTTTCCAATGGTAAAAAAGGGGGGTTGAATGTGGGGGCTGTTCTTATTTTACCGGATGGTTTTGAATTAGCCCCTACAGATCGGCTTTCTCCCGAGATGAAAGAAAAAATAGGCAATTTGTCTTTTCAGAGCTATAGACCCTCGAAAAAAAATATTGTTGTGGTGGGCCCTGTTCCTGGTCAGAAATATAGTAAAATAACCTTTCCCATTCTATCTCCCGATCCTGCTACTAATAAAGATGCTCATTTCTTAAAATATCCTATATATGTGGGTGGAAACAGGGGAAGAGGCCAAATTTATCCCGACGGTAGCAAGAGTAACAATACTGTTTATAATGCTACAGCAACAGGTAGAGTTAGCAAAATAATAAGAAAAGAAAAAGGGGGTTATGAGCTAACCATAACGGATCCATTGGATAGTCGTCAAGTGATCTATATTATCCCTCCTGGACCAGAACTTCTTGTTTCAGAAGGGGAAGATATCAAATTTGATCAACCATTAACGAATAATCCTAATGTGGGGGGATTCGGTCAGGGAGACGCGGAAATAGTACTTCAAGATCCATTACGTGTCCAAGGACTTTTGTTATTTTTGGCGTCTGTTCTTGTGGCACAAATATTTTTGGTTCTGAAAAAAAAAACAGTTTGAAAAAGTTCAATTGTCCGAAATGAATTTATAGACTTGTAGCATTAGCAATCTAAAAAGAGACGATTCAGTGTTATCCATAATAGACGATTCAGTGTTATCCATAATATATAATTAAATTAAAGTCAAATTCTCAAAAACCTTTAATATCTTTATACTATTATACTATATTTGCCAAATTTTATACTAACTGCTGGGAATTTCCGGTCATAGATCATAGTATGTCTATTTTTACTTTTATATTTTAAAGAAGATTTTTGGCATAACTCTCTATTTCATAGTTTTCTATTTCAAATTAAAGTAAAAATTAAAGTAAATTAGAATAGATTTTGCGTCTTCCTCTTTTTACTTTATCAATACAGGAAAAAAGAGAAAGTAAGGGGAGGAGGTATATATAATATTGGTTCAAGATTTAGAGTATTGGTTTCTAGTTTTGAGGCGTATTTTTATACCTCATTTTGAAAATGAAGAAAAAAGATTTTATATATTCTATTATTATAATTATATAATATATAATAATAGAATATATAAAATGAAATGATCGAACTTAAGATCTATATTTTTTATAGCAGCCTAGCACTTTATTCTTTGTACTTAAAGTACTCAAATGAAAATATCAATCTATACGGTAATAGAGACCAGGCCTTCTGAATAAATCACTGAGATTTATAGAAAAAAACTTTTTTTATTTTGTGAATAAAAGAGTCTTCAGAACTCAACGTGATTTAAAAGCAAATCACGTTGAGTTCTGAAGACTCTTTTATACCTCGAACTTAATTGATCCGATTACTACAGGGATGAACCCAATCCAGAATATGAACCATAAAAGAAAATACCTATTAAACCTATTACAACAATACCTGTTAGAGTACCTATTATCCAAAGAGGAATCCTTCCAGTAGTATGGGTCATTGATCCCACTTACCCCTCACACTTCATAACGTGGTCATGCTAGAGACATAAACAGTCATGGATAATTATAATATGAGATCCTTCCGATTGGGCTAAGAGAATGCCTATCGCTTTGAGGTATTCTCTTTTATTAATCCTAATTGAAGAAATAATTTGAAAATAAAACAGCAAGTACAAAAATAAGTAATAATCCCCAGTACAGACTGGTACGATTTAATTCAACGTTTTGCTCGTTTGGATTTGATTGTGTCATAGCTCTATAATTCGGAGTAATTTGATCATTCAATTTATCGTTGAATAAACTGCATTGCGGAAATTGAGCCCAAAAAAAAGACAGTAGGTACAGCGAGGCCATGAACAGCTAACCATCGTACTGTAAAAATTGGATAGGTTCGATCTATAGTCATTGGGACCTCCTACGAAAACGATCTAGGAAATTAATAGAGTTGTTCCAAAGGATCAAAACGGCCAGTTATTAATGGAATTCCTTGCCGGTTCTCTGTAAAGTACTCGTTTGGCCGTGGACTTCCAAACACATCGTAAGCTAAACCGGTGCTGACGAATAACCAGCCCGCAATGAATAGAGAGGGTATAGTAATGCTATGAATGACCCAATATCGAATACTAGTAATAATATCAGCAAAGGAGCGTTCTCCTGTGTTTCCAGACATATTGAACTCCGCATATTCTTGTACATTTTAAAAGTGCCGATTCCTTAATAGCATCTTTTTTATTTTTTATATTATCAATATTGTACCGAGGGCGTCTTTTCTTGAGAGTATACCCAATCAGTATAGCATCCTGCTTCTGACGCAGCAACGCATTTTAAATTGAAAGTAAGTGCTCAATTTTTTATTTATTTATTGACTCTTTCACTATTAACGTAAAATAAGGTTCTATTCAATTTTATTGAATAGAATTCAATAGAAAAGAAAAGCCCTTGACTCAATGAAATGAAATAGAGGCGCGATTTATCAAAAAACCTGCCTTTTTTCGTTGGTTGGAGAAGCGGTTGTTTTTATGTAATCTTAATATACCCCTTCCTTTTTCCTATGGATTTTCAAATATTTGAACATGAAATAATTCTTTGGTCCAGTAACCAAAGCTTAAAATTTAGATCCTTTTTTCTCTAAAAAAATAGACTTCGGTAAATGCTTTATAAACATATGTCCCATTTATAAACACAAGATATTAAAAGTAGCCTCTATCATGCTTACTATAACTAGTTATTTTGGTTTTCTCGTGGCAGCTTTCACTCTAACCTCAGCTCTTTTTATTGGTTTGAGCAAGATACGAATTATTTAAAATTGAAATTAAAGAATATCTTCATTAATATAAAATCTGTTAGGGGCTTCTTTTTCTGTTTAGTCTAGAGTTACTTTCAGTTACTTGTTGCACTAATTATAAATTGCTTTTAATAAAATAAAATAATAAAATATTGGTTATTTAGATTCATGTAAATTTCTATGAATATTTTGATATAGATATCACTTTTTTTTTTATTTAACACAAATAATGGAATAATGGAAGTTTTTATATTGGGAATCCTATTAGGTATAATTCCTATTACTTTGGCAGGTTTATTAATAACTGCATATTTACAATACAGGCGTGGGGATAAGTTAGAACTTTAATTCATAATTAATGAATAGATCGTTTTTTTATCTCTTCCCTTTCATCCCCAAGGATGAAATTTTGGATTGCTGTTCACATGACGGAATCTAGTGAAGTATTATTTATTAATTAATAATAATTAAGTCGAGAATAAAAAAACACGCTCTGTAGGATTTGAACCTACGACATTGGGTTTTGGAGACCCACATTCTACCAAACTGAACTAAGAGCGCTTTTTTATCAGAATATAGAGTTTTTTCGTAAGTAGAATTCCAAAGATTTTTAGACTTGTATTAGAAACTAGTATTACTAATATTCTAATACTACTCCAACCCTAGAGTATGCCTCCTTTGAAGCGATTTCGCTAGATGATCTCTTACTCTTCAAAGGAGAGCGTTTATTAAGTAGGGATGACAGGATTTGAACCCGTGACATTTTGTACCCAAAACAAACGCGCTACCAAGCTGCGCTACATCCCTTCAAATGTTATCCAATATATGAGAATAGGGCATAATTGATTATAAAATAAGTCGCATAATTTCATTTTTTCATTAGTTGTATAATCTTTATATATCTGTTATCTATTATAGTTTTCGATCTTTCTATATCCTTCTTTATTTATAATTTATACAAAAAAAAATAAAAGGTGGGGCCTTTACCTACATCTAGATCTGATAATATATGTACTATAACTATTGAG